CAATTAGAGCTAAGTTCCTCTTATAAAGATTGTGTTAATAATAAATTAAGAAAGTATATTTAATGTATATAAAAAGCTGCTCAAACTAATTTACCTATATTCTTATTGGCTACCTACTTTAAATGTATCCTTTTTTCTTTATGATTGTTATAGTTATTACTTATTAGTTATTACATAAATAATAGATCTACATCTACCTACGATTTTATCAGAGAATTTTAACCTTCTCCTTCAAAATTCAGATTAATTTTAGATGGGCACATTTATACCGATAGGGGCAAATATATTTTAGGGCAAGGGATGCTGTAGCATCCCAGCATCCCAGCCAGTCCGCGCCTGCACATGCCCCTGCACCACCTACGACCCTGGTATATTTGTTAAATATAATGAAGTTTCAAAATGTTTGTTTATTTATAAACACGTTTTTCAAAATTTTTTAATTTGGACATTTCATCCATGTATATTTTGACGTTTGGATATACATATTTTTATTGATTACCATACAAGATATCACGTACCTCAGCGCTTAAGTGAAGTCTAAACCCGTGCCAGGTATATCGTATATAGCCATATAGGTAACAATAGGCACCCACTTAATGTGACATCTGGTTCCAAGAAGATGTTGATACAATGAGACCTAATAAGTAGGGTACCAATTTAAATGCTCTAAAGAACAATAAAAATGCCCTAAAAACACAATTTTACAGTTATATAAAAAAAATTGTTGAAAATGCCTTTCAAAAAACATTATTTCATGTGGCCGAGTGAGTAAGCAACTTAATACATTTAAAAAATGGAAATGTGAATTTTTTTCTTTTAGGATTAAATAAACTTAATCATATTTTTTTATAACATAATAAAGTATACAAAAATAAGAAAAAAAGTCTTGATAACCAAATATTAATTTTTAATGTACCTACTTAAAATATAAAAAAATGCTCTAAAAATAACAAGTTTTATTTTTAAATTCTTTGATATCTAAAACAAATTTTGTGATTAGAAAGCATTGTCTTAGGATATTGAGAAAAAAATGAGATTCACATTGAAATCTGTTTCTTACTAATAAGTATAAGTAGATATTAAGTATTAACATTCTCACATTTAAAATTTTAAAAAATGTAATTTAAATCTGGTAGGCACATTTCTCGACTACTCAATGTTTTTGATTAAGTGAAGTAATGTGAGTATGAACACTAAACTAGCTAAACTGTAACCAAGGTAGGTCGAGCAAACTAGGATCATAAACATGAATTAGGGGGATCGGAGGAGGCAAGTGGGCAATTTGGACCATAGACCAATTCTCACTACTACTAGGCCCTGATAGAACTAGTGAGTTACCGAGCATAACTTGGTAGGCAAAGGCTAATTGTTGGTAGATTAGGTAAGCAATTAAATTTATCTATACCATTTTAACAAGTTTAGGGCTGGTACAATTTCTAAAACTCTGCGGGCCAGTACTTACTCGGCACTGACTATTACCATGGTCATCTCATTGTTTGAAAGTTAAATACATAAGTAGTTTGATATTAACTATAGTTATTTGTAATTAATTGTTTGGAGAAGGGGGTAAAAAAACTGAAATTTTTTTACAAATTTTTATTCTTGCAAATTCTGAATTATATTCAAAAAAACATAATATTAATTTAACCACGCATAAAATATTTACAAAAAAAACCACATTTAATTCCATTTAACATTTTCCTTATAAATAATTAGAAACTACATAACAAAAACACGAAACAATAAACTTGCCAAGATTGGCACTAGAAAAAAAAACAATACCCTTACACATAAATTTAATATTTGACAATATGAAGATTATTTTAATATAATATACATCTTCATTTATTATACAGTAAAAATACAGAATTAATAAAAATAGGTTTAGAGAATTGTAAATATATCATCAATGACATAGTTTTAGAAATTGTTTAATGATATAAAGAGTAGTAGATTTTGTAACAAAATTATTCCAAAAACCTAAACTATTAAACACAATTAAAAATGTATGAATAGCCAATAAATTAATACAAAGTATGTTCTCTTAAATAAATTGAGACACTCAATCAAAATGTTTATGTTACACAAAAAAAGTTTCAAGTTCTTAAAATTGTTGCAGAAAAAAATATAAATAGTATTTCTTGTTAAAAAATTAGCTTCTACAGTTTTATTGACTATTATTACACTTAAACTATATTCTGAGATTTTATTTCTATATAATTTTGGGTACTTCTTTATTTAGGTAAAATATAAAATATAAATTATATAATTATTATATATAACAAAACAGTTCAATTAACATACAGTTTTTATTTTTAGATGAATATTTTAGTTTCCTTAATTTTTTTTAGACTAAACAATATTTGTGATATTAATCTAATTTAAATTTAACTCGTTATTTCATGTTAGGTTCAATTCAGTAGTAACCACTCAAGCTGAATTTTTAAACTCAAATAGAAATCCAAAATTTAATTCAACACAGACACACTTTAATATACTTAGTATAATAATTTACAGTTAAATATTGAATTAAATAAGTAATAGAAGTTAAGTACGAGTCACTAAAGTATAGTAATCAATAGTAATAAATTACTTTTTACCTACAACATTTTTTATTTTTAGTATTTGATCTAAAATTAGTTAAATTTAACCAATCTTTTATGGACTGAATATAAATAATTAAGAATTAGCTATTTATAATACAATATTATATTTAGTATTAAAAATAGCCCATAATATTATTGAAAATATTTAACATTTTAAGCATAGAAAGTAGAACATTGGTCTCTTCGGTATAACAAAAGTTTTAAACACAGTAAAAAAGATAAAAGTTCAAATCAGTTTGACATAATTTAACTTCTAATAATTTTCATGACGAGTCACCATCTCTAGAAACAAAACTAAAACAATAATCATAGTATTAATTAATTTATACAATTATAAAATTATTTGTATAATAAACCTATGGCAGTAGTCAGAACTGATGGTTAACAACTGCGGGTAATGAGTAAAATGTCCACATTTCAGGCTTTTACCAATATTGATATTGATAAATTCTAGGATAATGTATAAAATAGTTCAATCAAACTCCAAATAAGTATTGTACCTTCTAGCTTCTACAAAAAGAGAAGTGGTAAATCTCACTATCTTAATAAATCCATTATAATAAAAACTATGTCAAAAATACAAAAAAAATTCTGAATAGTATACTATAATATAAAGTAAACAAACAACATTTTCAAAAAAAAAAAAATTGTAACCAGAACATTGTATTTTTTAGTATTTTGACATTAAACTAGTCAAATAAGACTAAATTTGACCGTAAAATATTTGTATAACATTCAGATTTTTGTTATTTAAGATTCTTATCACAATAAGTACCTAGATCATTTGTTAAAGCCTGGTGTACAATAATCAATAGGTGTTTAACCAAATTATTTTATAAATTCTAGAATTTTCAAATAATAATTGAAATTTGAACATTTACTGGCAGTAGTCTGCTATATTCTAGGTCCTAATAGTATTCAAACTCATACGCCAACATATGTTATGTTAAATAATCATTTACTTATAAATTTAAATAGCTTACATAACTTCAGCCAACAATTATTATATTAAGATTTATTACCTTTCAGATAATAATCCATGTTGTGATAAAATTCCTCTCAATTCTTCATTTTCTATTCTAAGTTCATCATTATGTCTATTAACGGCCTCCATTTGTTTCACACAATCCATCAATCTTTGATTAGTTGATTTTAATTCATTAATATAATCACATGCTTTTGCTAGAATGCCTCCTTTGCTCTAGAATATATAATGATAATTTATAATACTTATTAATACAAAAATGTAAATATTAATTAATTATTTTGATTTTCATCAAATAGGTATACCTAATTTATTAACTAATAAATAATACTACTGTTAAATTATAAAATAATAATAAATTCAATTTTAACTATTAAGGAAAATTAATGTTATAATTCCAAAGTAGACTAATAATAAATATTTATATATTTTTAAACAAGAGAATTGTACAATCTGTAAATTAGGTTTTACAATAAGCACAAGTGATATTAGGATAGAATAATATAGAAAAGATGAAATAATAAGTAATAAACAACGGGTTGATAATTACAATTATTTACAATTCAGACAGGGGGCGCGAGAGAAGAGACCATCCATTGATGGTACTTCTTGAATAAATATTTAAGCTGGCAATTAACAGTTTACCTTATAGCAGGAATTAAATAACAATTATGAATTTTTTTTTAAATCAATAATGATGGTATTAATATGACCATACTATGAGTAATTAGGGCAATTTTCTTCATAACATTTATTTTAGACATCCTACTTTATACATAAAATAAAAGCCAAACTGATACATCTACTCATTGAAGTGGCATGTAACAAGCATACTGTTTTAAAATGAACCTATTATTCAAATTTGAATAGTATTATTAATAATTTTCTTGTTATCATCCCTTAAACAAAACTTATTTGAAAATTTTTTTAATATATTGTAAAAAGCACCTAAAACTGTACCTGATTATCATAATTAGTTTTGTTTTCTTCAGCACAATCTGGTATAATTTTGCTCATATACATTATCCATTGATTTATTTTATCACGTCTTCGACGTTCTACTTCATTATGTGTCAATCGTCTTTTAGCATCCCTCTTTAAACATAATCAAACATTTTTTAAAGTATTTTAGTTAATTTATCAACAGTATGAATTTACAGCTTACAATATATATAGGCTTTAAAATAATGTTATAATAATAAAAAATACTTCATACTTATTTTACATGTTTAATTATGAAATATATAATATGAACCTTGCATTTCAATTACTTACTGTAACAACGGTACGATCTACTCGTTTTCTGGACACTTCACTATTGAGTGGTACAATTGGTCTTTTAACAGTTGTTGTAGTTGTAAATAAATCATTAATTGGTTGTACAACAAAAAATTGAGCTACAAATAATAAATATATATATTTATACATAAATTATATATAAACATTGTTCGGAACATTCACTAAAAAAATGAATTTGTTGAAGTTCAGTACTCAAAAAAGAAACTAGTTCTAATTCACATTCGTGTTTTTTTAAATGAAGAGTCGTTCATTGAAAAATGAATGAGTCCACCTGGTGGTTCATTTAATTTTTTTACCTATTTCATAATAGAAATTATAATAGAAAATATTATTACATGATATAATTAATCAAAATATTCTTAAAATTTATGGTAAAAATAAATTGAGTCTTAAATTTATTCAAATTCATTAATATATAAATATTATTCATGTTCAATTTGAAAAAAAATGAGTGACGTTGGCGTAGCATTCACTAAATATGAACTTGAGTGTGTGAGCATAGATTCATGAACGACGTTCTTTCTAAGCACTGTACATAAGTAAACTAAATACTAAATGTATAGACTGCTTACTAGCATTATTGTTTGGTCTGAGCTCATATTGTGTAATGTTTGTGTCATTGGTTTTACTCATAACAATTCCAGTTACGTTGCCATTTTCTATGACAGCGGCAGTTGGTTGTTCATCAACAGATTCAAGAGATCCATCATCATCAGTCACAATTAAGGTTTGTGCATTAAGAATATTTGATTCTAGTTTAATAAGTTGACCATTGTTTGCCACTTTATATGTATTACTATAATAAATATAAAAATTATATAATATATTAATTTTATTTAAAATCAAAAGCAAGTTATCTTAAAATAAGTATTGTATATATTAAATATAATTTACCCAACATTTAGAGAATCATTATCAGACATTTTAATAGACATAATTCCAATCAAAGTGAATTATTATGTTACTATCAACCTTATGTTAAAAATTAAATATTATTAGAAAATTTGAAAGACTATAAAAGTAATAAAATAAAGAATAACCGAATAAGAACGAAAATATGGATCAAATAATAAATATAGATAAAAATAAATTACTTTTCAAATAATCTTTAGAAGTTAAAACATAAATATTTTGCTAATTTAAAGTTGATAATATTGATATCAAATCACACCACATGTAATTTTATCATGGATGAATAAAATCAAATATACATGAGACCATGGCTAAATGCGTCTATAGTATTTGCTAGGGAGCCTTAAGGCTATTATTACTATTAACTATTAAGGCTCTCTAGTATTTACTTTTAATTACTATAGCCATGCATGAAAGACAAGGCGTGAAACATTGAAACATGAAGATTAGAGATATCTCTAATCTTCATGCATTGAAACCATTAACGTGGGCATGTCACACGCATAGGCGCAATTAGTGGTAGGGGGAATTGGTTTTATCCGTAGCCCCCACCAGCTCTTAATCATATTTTATTTTCAAAACTTTCAAGAGTTTGAACACACATAATATTATAAATTAGTATATCCAAAATCCACTATAGTATAATCCAAGGTTTAAAATATACATAATCAGGCTGCTCAGACAATGCTACTATCCTAGCCCTACCAGAAAAATTTCTCTAGTTAGTAGTTGTGCCTAGACTCGCCCATGGTATAAAACACGAATTAAGATATAGCTTCCTTACAAATACCATTAAACCAGGTTTTTTTTGTTGTTCCTTGTTTCCCAATTACAGATTCTGCGGTGTCTTGAATAAGGTTTTTACAGTTTTCCATATTTGTTCTACTTCTCTGCCCGACTCATTTGCTTACTTCACCATTAACTTTTCTTCTAGACCTTTTTGAAATTTCTCAACCACCACATATTGTTGAAGTTCACGATTAACTTGATTCATAGTTTACTTACCACAAGAAAGTTGTCTGAATCGCTATCTGCTCCCCTTACGGTTTTCACGTTTAATATACTATTACTAAATTTGCGTTTATAAGTACATGATCGATATATATATATGTTGTCCATCCGGTGATCTCCTTGTACCTTTATGAGGACCGTCCCTAGGGATTTTTTATACTCAGGCAAAACTGAATTTTGCTGCTCCCTTTATCGTAATGATGTCAAAAATGCCACCTCTTTAACAAGTGTCCTTAATGCCGTCGTAGGCTTGTGCCTACGTCGCCTACGCCTTCTTTAGTTGCCCCTGACCTTTGTATATCTCCTTGTGTGGGAACATTGTGCTTTTAACTCTTAGATTTCTTTCTGTGGGCAAGTCTATAAGTCTGCAGCCAGCCTGTCTTCTTTCGTTACGAGCACCAAAAAATATCGTTGATTTACTTATTTGCATTGGGCCATGCTCTGAGCACTTGCCATCTTATTTCTCGTAAAACTAACACTACTAGTTTGTATATCTTTCTATCTCTTTAATTACTGTCCCTAATACTCCAGATTTAAATAAAGTGTGTACATTCCAGGTACTAAAACGTCTAAAACGTAAACCTGATTTCCAATTTTCCAGTCTAAAGTCCTCTGATCCTCAATTCCGAGGCAATAATATGTTAGATTCCTGAATAAGGTTTTTTTACTATGCAGGGTTGTTAGCCCTGCGCTTAACCTTCAACCTGGAGGGCCAGACTTCCTCAACCAATTAAGGTCAGGGGAACGGATATTGCAATGTGCCGGAACGCGTTGGACGATGGGGATGCCACTTTCCCGACGACAGGAATACACTGCACTCAGATCTTGGTGTACAGACAGTCGTTGAAATGGCCACATCCTACTACAAGCTCTGCAGCCTCGCGAACCATTCAAATCCACTTATTTTTGCACTTAACTCAGTTAACATTATTGGTAATCCGCCGAGAAGGTTTAAAAGACGCTGGCATCGTGACTTGTCGATAGTATCTGGGCGTTACCCAGACACGTAGTCAGACATTTTTCCATAGGGTCCCCTAACTGCTTTTTGTACCCCCTACCACATCTCACCTCAAAACCTTACAAAATCTATAAAAAAAAAGGCAGGTACTACATTTTAACAATGTATTTAGTATTGGTTAATAAATAATAAGTTTAAGAGGACGTTACACCTGCATGTTTGGTCTCCGTCTTACAAATGTAAAACATTGCGAAAAATATTTGAGCAGGTAAAAAGTTTAGATATTAAAACGATAGTCATATGCCCATATCGGCTCATACACAGTTCTATAAAGTACATTCGCCGATCGCCGACTTGCATATTTGCGTTTGAACAAATTTCCAAGAAACTTCACTAATTTGCAATCAGTTTTCAATAATGTCTACAGTATAATTCGTCGTTTATATAATGGAAAATATTAAAATATCCTACGTATATTCTATTAATAACTTCGTTAGCGACGGTCTTCCTACGGTACATTTTTTATGGAACCGATGGTGGCGGTAAAACGGTTCGTTTATTTTTAATTTTTGTCTTTTTTTATGACTATATTATGAAACATTTTTTTAAAAAATTTTATTCATACTTACTTCATTACCTATAGTGAACAAATGTCAAGAGAGAGTCTGAACAACCCCTTCCGTGTGTGGACACCACTGTTTATGAGTAATCGAGTAATCAAAATATACCACCTATGTATGTTGTTACACAGTGCATTCACTCATTGGTTGTCTATTAGTATAAGGTCTATGAAGTTTTGGGGAACACTACATATTACATGGATATAGTTTATAATATTATTTACACAAAGGTTATAATTACATTTATTTAATTAAAGATCATTTTTTATCGAATACCCTTTAAATCACTATTTTAAAATGTAGGCCACATAATATACTGTAATTTTTAATACAGTAGACCACAGCATTCATTGGTAGACCGCATAATGGGTGATAGCTGTTATGACTTACAACTTATACCTTAGTAATAATATTAATAACATTGATCAGACTTAATTTCGATGATTAAAAATGTTTTAACTTTAACATTATAAGAAACCTTTGGGTAACAATGTAAGTGGTAACATACTAATTTTACCAATTATAGTGTTGATTAAGGTACGAATTAATAAAAAAAAAATGTTTTGTTTTAAACTTTATTTAAGTTAATTTATGTACTAAAAATTATGGACAGAGTATTAGTATTATGTTAGTTATAGGTATAGTATAATTCAGGATTTATAAATAAAATAGAAACAAATAGATTGGTGCCCATATTTTTTTATTACCAAAAATACAATGGAATGAAAAATAACAAATAATACATAAATATTAAGTAGGATGAACATTCACCACATATTAAAACATAAAATACTTTAGAACATTCATTAAATAACTAATAAAAAAACCAACAAATTATCACCAGATTACAAAGAAATACATAGAGTTCAAATATTATAGGTCAATCAAGTTATTAAAGATACTGTTTAAATGTAATGTGTAGCAATCAATATTTTCATTTCATTAGAGCAGCAACCACTGCTTTTGCATTCAGTGACTTGAGATCTGTATATGTTTGACCAGTTCCCACAAATACTATTGGCTGACCTGTGATGTATGTCATTGAAATAGCAGCTCCAACCTAGAATAAAATTATTTTTATTATTAAACTTATTAGAATTTCTATTATTAAAATTAATTAATTTACTTTGTCGTCAATTGTGTCAAATTTTGTGAGCACAATTCCATCAATCAAATGTGGAGTAACCGAAGACGAATAATCAGCTAAGGCTTGATTAAATTTCACTAGCTGATCAACTGCTTCATTGCCAACCAATGCTTCACCAACAAATAATACCATGTCAGGTTCATTCACTTTAATTAACTAAAAATCAACATACAATAAATATTTTGAACCTCATAAAAATAGACTTAGCATTGTAAGTTTTCATTAAACAATAAACTACTTTGGTCAAAGCTCGCATTAATGGTTCGTTATCTTGCATTCTTCCAGCTGTGTCAACAAGAACTACATCATACTTGGCTTCCTTGGCATGATTTATAGCTTCCATAGCAATGCCAGCTGCATCCTTTCCTGTAATCAACATAAACTTACTGATTGGTTATATAATTATTTTATGTTACCTTTATTTCTTACATTTAATATTAAGCCATTTGGTTTTAATATAAAAGTAAATAACAGTATATTGTACAGCAGTAACATATTATATTAAAGTGAAATTGTATAAAATAAAGAAATAACAATAAAATACTAGGTCTACGCATGATAATCAAAATGTTCTTAGGCTACCACATACCATTGTGGTTAAAATGTAGAACGGGTAGAAAATAGGAAGAGCACTGTCGAATATAGTTAGGAATACATATGCTGAGCCGTTCTGATAAACACTACAGTGGTTGCTTTAATGTAGCCATCAATCAATCGCAAAATTAATCGATGACTAGAGATAACAATTAATGTTAAGATACCAAGTACCTCATTTATAGGCCTGTAATCGTGAGCTGGATAGGCAATAATATTTTTAACATTAACCCCCAATTATAGTTTAAGGATATGCATCTTAGCATAATAATAATAATAATAATAATAATAATAATAATAATAATAATAATAATAATAATAATAATAATGTTATTAGACATACAAAATAAAAGTCATATTAAATACTAACCATATCCTTTTTCGTATAGTTGTACCATTTGCTGATCATTATGTTTTTTTGCTGGGTGAAGTGCATTCAAATGTTTCGTATGAGTTCGTAATTGTTCAACAGCACCTGCTCTAAACGTATCACAAGCTGCGATTAATACTCTTAGATTATTTTCAATCAACCAAAAACAGATCTGTAAATATGATAATAAAATAAATAGATAATCTTATTAGTTAAAAAAGGATGCAATTAATTCTAAATAATAGCAATTTTTATTCAACCCATACTTTTGCAAGATTTGTAGATTTTCCAACACCATTCACTCCACAAAATGCCATAACATAAGGCTTATCATTTTTTTTAGCCATCATTGCGTCACGCAAAATATCAATCCTACGTTTTGGTGACAATATTTGTACTAGAGATTCTATCATAGTATTTTTTACTGTTGACGCCACT